CTCAGAAATAGTAGCACTAAGACCTCTGGAGGCCATAGCTCAATAACTAACTGACCAATCCAGTTCAACCAAGTCTTATCTTGTAGAGTGGAGCTCCTTCTATGTTATCCAGTGAAAACTTCATGGTCGCTTATCTTGGCCGATGGATGGTGAAAGGGTAAAGACTTGCATGATGCCTTTTCCTTTAGTGCGGTAATGGACTACCATCACGATAAGTATGGCTGGGTCCGCAGTCAAACACCTGACTGTATGCATTTAGTCATGTGTCGCACCGATTCAGCTTCTATGTGTAATGGCCAAATCCTTCCAGCTGCAGTTAGGATATACTACCTATGTCTCTGACACAGGAATAATTTTTGCTGATGTAGTAGTACATTCCTATTGTGATATGATATTATAATAGTATATCCTTATAATCCTATAGTATTATAGTGGTATATTATTATAATACAATAGTATTATAGTGGTAAGTTATCATAGTATATAATGGGGGCTCTACTAGGAAGATAGATTCTAAGGATACGACTATACTAAACTTCAAATCTGTCAAACACTGCTCTTGTAAAATGTAAAGAATAAAAGTGATAGTAAAATTTAATATTGTGAAGCCCAAACCTATCTCAATTAAAGTCTCAAGAGGATGTTGATTGTATTGGAGTAAGAGAGTTCCCATATAATCTTTAAGTAGTCAGACTTATATATACTCAAAACTTCTCCATCTCGGTATGCTGATCAAATACAAGCATGCCTTTTACCACAAGAGTTGGCTGGTACTATTACCATATCCTCAAAGCACCTAAGGTATCAGTGCTCTCTAGCAGGGGTCTCTCATACACACATCAGTTCCGGCAAGGTATTTCCCAATACTCATGCCAGAGAGGAAACTTCTGCACACCGGTCCCTTGCTAATAGCTAACTGTTAAGACTCCTAAGAACAGCTAACTAAATGACTCTCTACCCACATGCCATGTCCTATGTAAATACCTATATACATCATCTATCTCTGGTTGAGTTCTAACTATCTTGATTGTAAACTTGAAAGGCCAATAATATTCCTGCAGAGAAGTGTATCAGTGGCATAACTCTGTGGCCGCTACATCGAGTTCCTTATCGCTGACACGTCACTTACCATGATAAGGATCATGCTATTAGAGCCCTCGAACAACCTACAAAGAGCCTAAGACAAAGGGGCATGTGTAGGGTTGATTGGTGTAAAACCTTCTCACCCTTCTCCAGTACTATCTTGGACTATCTGGGAGACCCTTCAGAATCACTCATACTAACTCTCTCAGTTTCAGTCTCTTTTACTCTATTCTTTTTAGAGAAGTTACCTGACCTTGTCACCTTGGCACTCTCATATATCCTGTGAAAAGGCTTCTCGTCAGACAGATGCTGCTAACTTATACCATATTATAGACATGTCTTCATAGACTCCCTTAACAAGAAAGATGGTAAATTCTCCTGTTTTGGCCCATGATACCCGGGGTAAACCCTGGGGCCACCGGTACCTGTCAGGAATAATTCTACTATATCATAGCAAGTTTAGAGTACTCTAACTCCTCCCGTGATCTTCCCATCATTATATAAGCCAGTATTGTTCGATCATTATTCTATAACAAATAATGCTAACATTTCCCAAAAAGCCTCTGAGAATATTTCCGATAGAGGATACGGTAATAGTGTCCTAAAGGCAGGGTAAGTCCATCTATGGTGATACAAAAATGGTCTCCATAGTAGGGTAATGTGATATCCTTAAGTATGGTAACTTTACTCAGCCTTCCAACCTAAACCTAGGCCAATATTGACATGGTAACATTACTACCAATACTTAGGTATACCAATTCTGTAAGTACCTTGTGTTCTTGAAGATATCTGAACCATTGGATATTTCTTAGACATGCTCCAGCAAGTCTATCTACTCTACCCCTAGATCTCAGGATCACATGTATGAGCATAGACTTATATTACTATAGTTCTCTAATATATCATTATTACCTAAGGGTATATTATCATGGTGGTATGGTATCATACTATTACAATATGATAGCAGTATCTTGTCATGGTGGTATGATATCATAGTGGTATATTCAAATTATCATAGTAGTATGATATTATAGTAGTATATTATCATAGATTATTTTATACCTTTGATCCGACTACATGATACCATTGACAGTATCAGAGTCACACAATAAGTTATCATAATATGATATTATTGGTTCTTCTTTATCTCTTATGGAATGGTGTCTTTAACCTCATTGTAGAGTCAATAGTTATATTAGTAATATAGTCCCTTATCATTTATACTATGAGCATGATCTTTCATTATCTGTACTGTACATGTAATCCTTCATCATCTGTGCTATAGCCCTTCATCATTTGAGACATCATTCCCATTGACCTATTTGTAGAGTGAATTGCTATATTACGATATTATTAATCTCTTTAAACTACTCTATTACTTTTGGCCTATTATTTAAGCAGTAAACCAATGAGAGTCCTAGAATTTGGCCAATACCTAACTTTCAATTAACTTATTATTTAAGCTGTGAAGGAAGGAGACTCCCAGGATTTAGCTGATACTTAACTATCAGGTGACCTATCATTTAAACTGTGAACCAATGAGAGTCCCAGGATTTGGCCCATACCTAACCCTCATGTGACCTATCATTTAAGCTCTGAACCAATGATAGTCCTTGGATTCGGCTAATACCTAACTCTGAAAAGGAAGTCTGAAACTTGGCCTATGAGAAGGCCTTAAAGTGACAAAAGTCTTAAACTATCTGCTAATAGTAGATCATAGATAGAAAATTTCTAATATAATTACTGATTATTTAGTCTAGATATATAATTTTCATTATCTACCTACTTGTTTACTTAATCTGAGCTTGACTAAATATTTATATTTTAAAAAGTATGCTTTAAATAATAAGAAAGAGAAATTATATTAGGTTAGTAAACCAATATAATTCATGATAGATTAAAGTACTAAGGAGTTAAAGTAAGAATATAAAAAAATTGAAATGATATATAAAGATAATATCATAAATAAAGCAAAATGTAAAGAGGTTCTAATTGACATAAACAAGTATAGGATGATTGGTAATTTATGGAATAGATTGAGTACAAGGAATATAAATTCAATGTCATATTAAATGACATAAAAACTATATAAAATATCCTAATACAAACAGAAAATAGTTTAAACTATACCAGTCTAGATTATAAGAGTATGGTAATCTTATATTATTTGTATCTCCTATACTACCTCTTTTATCTCACTAAGATCACTAACTCTAGTAAGCACTGTTGAATTTTCTAATTCGTTTCATATGTATATTCCCTTGATAATATCGTATATTCCTCTACTTAGTATTATTTCTAGTTCACGGACATTACTACAGCGGAGTATGTATTACGTATATTTCATTGATATTTCATGATACGATTAGGGGATTATGGTGTGCTTTTCTTATCTGGTGTTCGGGTTTATTTCTTACATTTTATGCATCATCATGCACGGTCATCGGTCATTTGATTTACAATTATGTTCTAATTATTCGTTCACACCACCTCAGATTTACGCATGTTTTATGGAATTTCCTTGGCAGTTCTTTAGGTTCAAACACGTTCGCACTGATGTTTTTCCTACTTATGTTACGGTCAAACACGTCGACACTTATGTTTTCCCTTACATTTCCTCTTTGTTACGCGAAAGATGTGTACCTGTATAAATAGGGGTTACCACCCATCTCGCTTAAGAGAATTAAGGACAAGAACTACTACCAATCTACCTTCATACAAAATTCCTCCTCGCTTAGCGTGCCCGCAGTATACTCTCACTACTGTGTCGTACTTTTGTACAAAGTTATTAAGATAGTGCCGTACCCACACATTTGAACAAGTACCTGTAATATCTCAAAATTCTCCTCTATCTTACCAATTTCCATACTCTATTGCCTTTACTAAACTCAAGTATTATCTCCCTTACTACTTCTAGTAGTGGTAGGCTATCTACTATCCCTTTCTCTATGGGTTTACACAATTTAAAGTCCTAGTTTTCTTCTCTTTTCTTTAAATAGTTTTAGTTGGTTTTTTCTTACCTTTTTTAAATGTCATTTAGGACAATTCTCCTCTTTTACTAATATTTACAACTAGATATATTCTCATAGAATTTGTGCTTTTATTCCCTTTTGTTTCATTCTATTTGGTTGAGAATTGGTGGAGTTATTACTACTTTTGTACTTGGGTTGTTATGTCCCCCTTCCCGCTGGTGTCCCGCATCACGGTGGCGTACGTTAGGCTACTTCCTCTGTTACCCGCTTTATATCTGGGAGAATAGATAATCTTATTCAAATAACGGATAAATTCTCGCATTCCTTCTTTTCTTATATTCCTTGCTTCTATTCTATTCCACTGTCCCCCCCCCCCCAATTCTCTCTATAGTCCTGGCTGCTTTTCATGGCTTCCCCATACTCCTTTCTACTCTTCACTCCCCCTGACTCCCAAACTTCTAACCCCTTTTCCATATCCTTTCAATAAGATAATGAGCTCCTACATATCTACTAGTATATCGATCCTGCATCTTCTATCCTGTAAACAAAAAAAAATGAAATAAAATAACTGCCCGTTTCCGGGGAGATGAGTAAATTATATGCCGCGACAGGAAAGTAAGCACCGCCGTTTCGCGATACACTAGACAGCAACTAATTATGTTTGACCCATCGCGCTGTCCTTGGGATGGTATCATAGGAGCATGGCCAGGATTCTGGCACATGTTAGGGGTTTGGGGTGGTCTGTAGAGTTCTGACGGGGAGTAGTCCCTTAATCCCACGGGTAGAAAATGAGCAGGATGTGGTTTATCGTCGTTCCGACCCTTGGGAGGACATATGATCGGGGGCGATCCGAGCGCCACGGGTTTACTTGGGGTCCTAAAGTGTAGGGCCGTGCAGATATCACGAGTGAACCGGCTGGGAAAACTACCAGTAGGTAGGGGGTGGGGGACTGGTGGGTAACTCGGATTATGTTTTGGCATTTAAGACACCCGCCAGAACGATAACAAACGAGTGACATATTATTATTACAGCAATAGTAAAGTGGCGGCAGCGAAGAGCTTATTGGGTGAGACGTCATATCAAACATGAACCAACATCATATACCGCTAAGAGATTAAAAAAAATATGTATATAAAAAATAACAGGAGAAAATAAAGAGCACATACAAAAAAAAGTAAAAATTTCCAACACTTCTCCACAAATAACGGACAACACGGCTAGCGAATTGCGTCGTAGTTTCGCTTGGGTTGGTTGGAAGAGCCCGCTGTGTATTCCGCCCTATCATCTCTGAATCTCTAGATTCTCCTTGGGATCGTTGCAGGAAGGTCAGGTTTCTGGCACTCGACAGGTTGTCCGGATGGTTTGGTCCAGGAATTTTCTCAAACCGCGCTAGTGCACGCTGATTCAGCTCCTCTGATTCACTGTATTTTCCTTGATATTGAAGAACAATAGCGAGGTTGTTGGTGCTTGATAGGGTGTTGGGATGGTCTGGTCCGAGGATCCTCTTGCGCGCCTCCAATATACGCCGATTCATCTGCTCTGATTCGCTGTACCTTCCTTGGTACCGCAGCACAGCAGCCAGGTTGTTGGCACTAGATAGGGTGTCGGGATGATCCGGTCCAAGAACTTTCTCATACCCCTCTAGTACATGTCGATTCAACATCTCCGATTCGTTGTGCTTTCGTTGGTACTGGAGCACAATGGCAAGGTTGTTGGCACTTTGCAAGAAGGTGAGATGGTTTTGTCCAAGACACTTCTGATACCCCTCCAGTGCACGGAGAATCAACGCCTCTGATTCATTGTACTTTTGCTGGTATTGCAGCACAGTAGCCAGGTTACTGGCACTTCTTAGGGTGTCAAGGTGGTCTGGTCCAAGAATAATCTCACGTCGCTCCAGTGCACGCCGGTTCATCTCCTCTGATTCGTTGTACTTTCCCTGGTATCGTAGCACGATACCCAGGCAGTGGACAGCCCGCAAGACGGTGGGATTATCCGAGCCCAATGACGGCACCATATCCTCTAAGAAATTCTGAAATATCTCCTCAGCCACTTCTGCCTTCCCTTGATATGCGACTACCACCCCCAGGTGTATAACCCTCATCGGGCCTTCCCCATCCCAGTCATACTCTTTACTCTTTTCCCTAAGTGCAATACATCGACGGAATTGGGATTCTGCGTTATTGTAGGAACCCATATCTCGAAAGTACTGTCCCAGGCGAAAACACAGTTCTTCGGCTATGGGATCCGTTGAACCTTTGGCTACTGCAAGTGCATGTGGAATGTATGTGCGATCAACATCTCTCCACTTGTTCTCATCTTGAGGTAAGAACCTTAAAATCATCCCCAGCGCAGTGGCCCTCAACTGATCCAACTCTTCTGTCGGTAAATACACTTGTAAAGACAGCTGGACCAAACGGTGAAGCTCGTAAAATGCCTGATCCTCGCGATTAACAGTCGTAACTAGCGAAAATCCCAACAATCTTCCAATGGCCAAACGAAACTCCATGGGGCCATCTATCCGTTCCAAGCAACTTTGATTCAATAACTCCGCGGGTATGTTCTGACGATCGAAGACGGCCATTAGACGTAGAATATTTGCTGCTAGGGGCACTTTGAGTGTGATTCGTTCAAAGGTGATAAGGTACGTAGCTAGGATGCTTGCGGTCATATCCGCCTCTGGTTTGATGTTACAAAACGGTTGCGAAATTAGTCTCCTAGCTTGTTCTTCGCTTCCCCGGAGAATTCTCCAATAAGCGGATGGCGGTGTCTGGGTTTCGGCCATGAAGGCTGTCGCACCCACGATAGCCAGCGGGCTATCGTGCACGGCACTAAGGATCATTTCGGCAGCCTCTTTTTCTTCATCACTCGAAAGGTTCCAGCTGCCAAAGCGCTTTGAAAACAATGATTGGGCTTCATCCTCCCCCATCCTTCCAACATCGATCCTTTCGCAACCCTGCCAAGTTGCAACCCGGAGAGATCTAGTGGTAAATATTGGAGTGCCACCTTGGCCTTGCGGTAAAAATTTGGAGATGGGCCCGCTGTTGCCGATAAAGTCCTCTTCATTGTCGGCGTTATCAATAACCAGTATCCAATGACCACTGTCTGGACCTTCGAACCACCCCTTAATACTCGCTAGAAACTGCTCTTGGTCGGTCTCAGCGCTGGGAAGAGGAATTCGAACATGGTGTGCAATAGCCCTGAAACCGTCGATAAACTTTAACACCCCACTCCCCTGCACCCAGAAAACATCGCAATCGGCGTCGCTTGCGCGCTGATAAACGTATTCGAGGGCAATCTGAGTTTTTCTAAGGAAGTTTAGTAAACCCCCGAAGTAAAAATAATGAGTACATACCCTGATCCGCCTAATCCATGAAGTGCGATCCGGTGGTGACCGTCACCCTCTGAATGTCTCTTTATCGACTCGATGAGGCCCTTTCGGCCAGTAAACTCGCTGTTTCTGTCATAGGGAATTATCCGATCAGGCCTAGGTGCTTCGTCTAGTTGTAATAGTGCATTAGATATTTGGTGGAAGTCTATCGGGAAAGCTGATAATACCTCTCTCCCCAGCTCCAAACACACACGCTTGATATATCGTTTGGATATTGGTAAGGGTATTTAGACTGCTGCTGCTACCAAAATCATTATGATTCCCTGAATTCGCGCTGAAATCTCCACTGGTATCGGCTTGCATTTTCTACGAGGATTGCCATGTAAGCTCCAGTTCTTTTAGGAATGACTGACACCAGATGGAAGGGAGCCCACCGATCCATCAAGTGCTCTATTATTCAGCTCCCTGTAGGCCCCTTTCAAAGGTCCAGTAGGAAAGCGATAAGACGTCGCCAGCTTATCTGAAAAAGGAAAGGAGGCCTATTTTTCGCCAACCAAGGTACGGTAGTTCAAGATCTTTTCGCAAGCCCATAAAAATACCGATAAGGCAAGGATACCTGTGGAGTGAGTAACCGAGGACTCAACCTTGGCTTGGAGAATGAATGATTCTCTGGTTTTGAGGTCGCTTTGAGTTGCAGTCCTTGCGCGAGCTATAGGAATTCAGTGAAGCCGAAGATTTGGCAAGAGGACCCCGTATAGGAATCAGAGCGTTAGCGTCTGGAGGGGGTATCATAACAAAAATACAGTAAAAAAATTTCAGCCCTGGAAATACAAAGCCCTACCCTAGCAGCTCAGGCTGAGAAAAAGCCTGAGAAAAGCAAACAATAGGTATTGTGACCCATAACTAGCCCTCCAGGGGTTAAGGAAATGTACTCGAGTAGAGTTAATTGGTTAGGGCCTGTTTGGATGAAATGGTTCCATTCCGTTGGCCCATACAAATGACCATTTCCTTCCTTTTTGAAGAGGTTGCTGCCAAAAGGCTGTTTGGCACACCCGCTATCAACATTTCTGTTTCTATGGTTGACTGTTAGCAACAACCTTTTCCACCAGTCAAACCATTTCACAACGGAATGGTTGCCACTTCCTTCCTTTTTTACCAAACAGGCCCTTAGACTTTGTTTGCGGCTTGGGCAGCGACCAGCATTTAGTGGATGTCGGCTAATGCCGGGCGATACAGTGTGATACAAGACACCACAAGTTAACCGTCTCCTGACTAGGATAATAATATATTATTGAAGACAACAAAGAATTTTCATGCATCCTACGGTACCCGGTACGAGTATGATAGCCGCCTATTTAACGTGCTCCATCAGCCAGAGCTGCTGAGATACAAAATTTGAACCTATCAAAAATTATACTGCTCTACGAACCGGCTTGTTTGGTACATTCTGGGAAGTGTCCATGGCTATCGCCACTTCTTCTCTCCATTCAATTCAAAGTTGCCATAATCTTCAAGGCGAAACAAGTGCATCAGCCTACGGTATTACACAAGTACCACACCTTAAAATCGATGAGCCACCCAAAATCGGTGTTGCTCATAGAGCAGTGAAAAGACATCTAATACCGGTACTCCTACACCGTCCTGATCACAATTCCGCTTCTACACAGGCGAATGCGTGGGCACCTCGGTGGGAATTTCTGTATGGGAATGGGACAAGTCGTATAGAAGGTTGCAAAAGGCTAACATTCCCACAATACCGGCAAACGGAAGGCGAATTTAGTGCGGCAACACGAATCATCATACTATCGAAAGCTCCTATCCCACCCATCGAAGAGGGAATTTCGGACGTCCTACTTGTACAGTACATGGTGCGAGGTTCAATTATCCGGGCGGATAGGAAGCCAAGCTCTAAGGCAAGGCTCTGTTTGGCGGGAGCGGAACCGTTCATGATCGTTCCGTTTCAAAAAGGTTGTCCATGTAGAAACGGGCCACTTCCGTTTCGCAACAGTCAACTCGGCTCATTTCCCAACGGAACGGTCAATTTATTCCATAGCTACCAAACTCTAGCTTAGTTCCTTCTATTTTGAAATGGAAGGTAGCGGTCGTTGGTGTAGGGAACGGAACGGAACTGTCGTATCCAAACAGACCCTAAGCCTCTTTCGAAATGACGAGGGCCTTGGCACGGTTACCGTTAGGATCTGAGCAGAGGGGGGGCTACGATAGTCGGGTCATTACAATACCGCATTAATTGGCGAAACTGGAAATGAGTCTAGGATGAAAAAGGAAGAAAAATGCGAGGCTCCACTGTTAGCTCAAGCCACAACCATGGATGACTCACTTTTATTTCAACCACAATTGACTCACATAATATTATGTTGATCCAGAGAACAATTTATAGAAGAAGAAAAAGATTTATACTTCAAGTAAGTTGTAGTGCGCTCACCACCCGCAGTCCCTGATCCTGATAATCCGGATACCTCACTGTCCCCTATCAATTACCTCGCTATCCCCCATCAATCACCTCGCTGTCCCCTATCAATCACCTCACTTTCTCCCATCAATCACCATGAACTTTGAATTTCTCCCACCAAAACTTAGCTTGATATCCCGAATCACTTGCTAAACTGGACTGATTCTTCGCCTTTTGGCTATCCGGGATAGTCGGGATAGTGGAGGGCGAGTGTACACAAGTGAGCAATCGTGAAGGATGAATATCCAATACCTGTTAAATCCAGAGCTCGAGCTCATAGCGCAACATATGCCAAATTCAATTCCCTGTCAAGCTTCGGAAGAGAGGATACCACCTGTTTTGCCACCTCCGAGTCTGAGCCAGCTGTCTGAAGAGCCAGCTGGTACCGGTGGCCCGCATAGTCCTACAACTTTGCCTCTGAGCTCTTCCAGAATGCGTCCACCAGCCTCCAGCTACCACCCACGGCCAGGCCCCCGATCCAAGCCAATTGAAGTCCGTCGGGGAGGATCCTTTTCCAGGGCAAGAAAGCGAATACAATGTTCCTATACTCCTGAGTTCAAAATTGAGGTACTTCAGTGGTGGTTTCATCACCGAATACCTCAGAAAGCAGCTGAAAGGATGGGAGAGGAAGAAGAGGATGAGGAACCGGAGGTGCTACGAGCACCACTCATGAAGGAGGTATCAGAAAGGTATTTGGTACCAATCACGACACTGCATAACTGGAGGGTGCATCAGGGTGAGATAATTGAAGGAAGAAAAGGAGAAAGAAAAAACAGATCTGAAGCAGGTAGGTGTGCTTGGCCAGAGTTGGAGTCAGAACTTTATGATAGGTATCGAAAAAGACGGGATGAACGGAAGGCAGTACGGCGGGGGTGGCTCCGGCGTGAGGCTTTTCGGATCTTTACCAACTGCTATCCCGAGAGGGATATTTCGGAATTCAGTTTTTCGAATGGCTGGCTGGCGGGCTTCCTTTCTCGACATTTGATTACCCTTCGATTCACAACAAACAAGTCCCAAAGAGTGCCGGAGAACTACTTACAAAGCATTCTCTCCTGGTTTCGCTTTAATCGGCGGAACTCGCAGATTCGTATGGGGAGTCATGATGAGGAAAGGGTGGTTGGTCGGTACTTACTTGATAGTATTTGTAACCTAGACGAGACCCCCCTCCCGTTTGAATATTTAGATGGCCAGACCTACAGTGACAAGGGTAGCCATTCAGTCCAAGTTAAAGCTAGCAATAGCGGCTGGGACAAGAGGCAGGCTACCCTGTTACTGGCAGTATTTGGAAGTGGAAAGGCAAGGATTCGGCCGCTAATCATTTTTCGAGGTAAAGAGAAGTACGAGGGACCCCGGATGGCACATTTTCAAAAAAAGAGAGAGGAAGAAGCAGAAAGATATGATCCCCGGGTAGGAATCAAGTGGAATGAGGCAGCCTATGCCAATTCTGGTCTCTTGGTCGAGTGGATCAAGGAGTTTCTGGTACCAGCTCTTCCCTCAGGTCCACGGCTGCTCGCATTAGATGTGGCAAAGTTTCACTCGACAGCAGAGGTTTTGACCACTTTACGTGCCAATAATATCACCCCTTCACTCATTCCGGCTGGCTGTACTGGGCTAGTGCAGCCCCTTGATGTCTCCGTCAACAAACCGTTCAAAAACCTCCTTCGCACCATTTTAGAAAACCTACTTGACAACTACGAAGCAGAACACCAGCTAGATTTACGCGAGCTTCACCACTCCAACACCTCCGCAATCGCTGAAAGGCGCACTCTTGTTACTCATGCTGTAGGTCAAGCCTGGGAGGAGTTTAGCCAATCACACCAAGAGTTAGTGATTACAACCTTTCGCAAATTGGGACTTACACTCCCAATTGATGGCTCATGTGATAATGAGTTATCTGTCAAAGGTATCGATTCAGGACTACTGAGGATAGGAGATTGGAGGCAAAGGGAGGAAAATATGGCAGGGGTAGGGGTGGCAGGTCCGGCATTGCATTCAGATTCTGAGCTTGAGGTTGTGCATGATGATACTATAGAGTTTGTAGATCGGGAATGAAAACTGAAACCAGCCGGCACTTTATATTCATGTCATCACTACATATCACTCAATCTAATTCTGATATTCGCTTAAATTGCCACCCCCTTTTTTTGCGTCAGATGTCGATCCCCGAGTCTTAGCCCCATTTCCAGTTTAACCAATTAATGCGGTACTCGGTCGGCAAGAAAACGCGCCGAGGCCACTACGGTACCGGTATTACCCTTCTAGATTCCCACCCGAGGCCCTCCATGCCGTCACAGAAAAATTCACCGGCTTATGTAAGCCATTTTTGCCACACCAATACTTCTACACGCACGCCACGCCATCATCACTCGAGCACCCGAGTACGAGTGCGGCCGATAAATATATTCGTCACGTGCCTTATCTAAGGACAAATCGCAGCCAAAAGGTGCACCAAAACTTTCTTATCAGACTCACGTGACGAATATATCTATCGGCCGCACTCGTACTCGTAGAGGACCAATAGTTCAAGAGTCTTCCGCCACATGCACATACCATTGCCCGAGTACCAGATTAATTGCGGAATTACAAATGTGAACTTGAAGGTTAGAGTTGTGTCAGGCCTATTCATTCCCCCCACAGGATACTCGAGTACATATCCCATAGGGGGTTATTACATTGGGTTAATGGCTAGCAGATCTCAAACATACGATAGGCAACATGGATGGAAACCCTTCGCACTGATCGGCTTTTTCCCGCAGCCATAACCGGCTGATGCAGCGCAATTACCGCTTGCCACTCTACAAGTACGGGTACTCGAGTCGCTGCTGCAGAGAAGGCCATCGCTGATCTAGTTCAGGAGCTTACGAGCTGGGAGGGGGGAGAGGCCTTTGAAAGTGGGAATTTAAGGACGGGATTCTTTGAGCCTTACTCAGCAGGTGTAACACTATGAAGATGCAGAGCGGACCAACAAAAATTCCAGCTCGCGCAATACCGGTTAACCTCAGTGAGCTTGAATCTGAGGCCAGAAATACTGGTGAATTTCAAAGATATCTGGGGGCCCTGGCACCAAGGCTTTGTGCTTTCAAGGAGCCTCGACAATGCGGTGTCTAAATACTTGTACAGTATAGATGCAACCCCCTTCATTGCAACATTGACTCGAATGCACCTTCGCGCTAGACTTAGTTAGCCACAGCACCCTAGTTTGACCCTTCCCTCTCATTCAGTGCTCGCTGGATCTCTCCCACTTTGTTCAT